ACCGCAAAATTAATTAGTTTTTTCGTCGCAGATCGCTAGATCTGAGCTTTACGCGTGCCAGATCGAAACTACGCGTGTTGGAAGCGACTGGACCACCTGAGATCGATGCTCACTTGGACAGATCAGGGGAGGAGCAACCTTCTGTCCCTGCTTGGCTTGAACGGAGAGAGGCGTCGGCAATGGCGGAGCTACTGCAGTGTGGAGCAGCGGCGAGGTGGCGCGACGCGGCTGAGCTCGTGCTGGTGGCTTGCGTTTCTGCTGGAGCTGCTGGGACGTGATGCAGACGCAGTCACAGGGAAAAGAAAAGAAAAAGAAAAGGAAAAAGAGAGGAGGAAGTGGTGGCGTAATGGTGCCGCTGGAGGTGTTGTAGAAATGGTGAGGGAGAGGGAATGGGATAAGCGTGGAGATAAAAAGAAAGAGGGCTTCTAGAAGGTTTGGACTGGTTCGATTCAATTCTGATTCGATTCAGCTCAAATCTTGGTTTTTCGTTTGATTTTTGATTTTTCAAATGGTTTTTGATTCGGTTTATCACTGTACGAATTATTAATTTGCATTTAAATAATTAAATACATTTCCAGGCTGTCAGTTTATTAAATTAAAATGGAAAATCTTTGAAAATAAAAATTCGTTCCAGGCTTGTCAGTTTAATTAAATTTAAAAGGGAAGATCTTTGAAAAGTAAATAGAATTCGGGTTGTTTCAGTAACCTCATTTTTGACACCCCTAATATGGACCATGCATCAAAAAATGCATACACACTTTAATGTATTTCAATAATTGGATAATAATTTTGAAGAAATTTAAACTAATTATATTGAAAATAAGAAAAATTACGATATTTTTTATTTTTACGTTTATGATTTATTATAAATGATTGTTTATTTATTTAAAATATTAATATATTATACTTATTTAGTGTAATGTGTCCTAAATATGTGGATCTCCTACTTTTCAAAATGTGTCATGTCGCATATGTTCTCGTATTGAGTGATGAATTTTTTTTAATTTATTTTTGTAACTTTTTTATTGATGAATAATCAGTAAAAATAAGAAATGACTAAATTTATTTTCGAAAAAAACTTTTGTTAGTTTTTTTTTGATATAAAAAAATAAAATTAATTTTTCTCTACAAATTTATTTTGATAGTTTTTTATTTTCCTTCTAATTTGAAGAGAAAATTTTTGAAATTCTTTTCACTTATATTTCTTTCTTATTTCCAAATAAAATAGTTTTTGCTTATAAATATTAATTTAGTTTTTTTTTCCTTCTATATGATATTATTTGAAAATATAATTATGATATAATTTGAAAATATAATTATTTTTTCTCTTATAATCCACACATGTGAAAGGTAACATTAAAAGACTGAAATAATATTTTAATAAACATCATTCAAAAATAGTAAAAAGAATTATATAAAAAATAATTAAATTAAAATATCTTATTGAGATATGCTGAAAAGTGTTGTGGTTGCAAAAGATATATCTTTCTTAAAATATCATAAAGAACTTTTTCATAAAATTTGGCTATTAGCATGGATACTGACCTACATAAAAAAAAAATGCAATACACTACTATTAATGATATTTTTCATAGTGATAATAATTTTGAAAGAATTTAACTTAATTATAGTTAAAATAAAAATCTAAGTATTTTTTAATTTTGATGTTATGAATTTATTATAATGATTGTTTATTTTATTGGAAATATTAATTAGTTACTTATTTAGGTCATAGTGTGTCCCTAAGCATAATGGAGTGTCCTAGTTTTTAAAAAAATTATCGTATCCATATGTTTCCGTGTCTAGTATCTGCCGTGTCCATGCAACCTAGCTCCCGCCCTGGCAATAAAACACTCCTTACAAAACCAAACTAATCAAGATAATGTTTTTTTTTTATTATCAATAAAATAAGTGGTTTTTTTTAATTTGCTTTTGGGTGTCATGTGAACATAAGAAATTAAGTATTTTTTTTAATTTTCATGAATTTTATGTAACTAGAATGATTGTTTTTAAAATAATTTATGTTTATTGTTTGGTTGCAAATAGTCTGTAAAATTAATAAGTTTAAATATTAAATATTTACTCATGAGCCAGTGTTTTTTTAATTTGCTTTTGTGTCATTGAAATAAGAAATTAAGTATTTTTTTATTTTATGATTTATTATAAATGATTGTTTTTAAATAATTTATGTTTAATTGTTTGGTTGCAATATCAAAAATTAGTTTAAATATTAAAATATTTAACTCATGAGACCATAAAAAATAATAATAATAATAATAATAATTACTTCATATTTTAAAAATTTTATTGTTGAATATAAGAAAAATGAAAAGAAAAAAGAAATGAGAAAATTATGAGAGTCATTGATGATCGGTATTAGTCGATGCTGGTAGCTGCTTAAAAATGACTCAATTTTCCTTTGATCAAAAAAATATTTTTCGTTGACTTATTTTTCTGAATGCCCTGAACGATGAATTCTTAAAAATTATTTTCTTACAAATTATTTTACGGAATAATTTGTACGTTTTGATAGAATACAACAACCAAATCTTAGTCCCAAACCAATTAGAGTTAGCCATATGAATTCTTTGTTCCAAATATTCAACTTGATCAAATTAATATCAATGAGTCAGCGTATAAGTCGGAAGGAAAAAATCTTAGAATTCCTTTTTGTAACAAAATTTTGAAGGAATATTATTAAATTATATGATATATTAATAAATAGGATAAAACATAAAATAAAAAATAACAACGAAGGTCTGCTACGTGAATCTTTTACCTCCATTATAGTTTGTTCATAGCTATAACTAATATCCAAAAATCATAGATTCTTAGCAACAACTTTGCTCCGAGCAGTTTTAGGTTCATATCTTCTCTTTTTAGCACCCTCCAATATTAGAGTATCACATTTGTGAAACTAGACATATGAGACTCTATATAATATATAACCATACCATCTCGCACGTCTTTCCCTCATTTTTATCTCCAACTTCTGCTATTTCAACCTTTTATCTAATGTGATCATTTTTAATCTTGTCCTGCGTTATGTGACCATACATCCATCTCAGCATTCATATCTCTACAACATTCATCTTGTGAACATAGTACTCATTAGGTTGCCCAACATTCACTCACTTAGTATTATTGGTCTTACCATCACCCTCAAGAACTTACCTTTTACCTTATCAGATATCTTCTATCACACAATATACCTGTAGCATCCTTCCATTTCATCTTCATCTACGAGAAACATCTTCATATGTGAGACCCCTTGTAGAACACCAAGCCTAGATATTTGGATTGATTGCACTTAGGCAACATGGTACCATCTAATAATCAAAACTTTCATGTTTTATTCTAAAACCAAATTCGCAATGCATGTATCCTGCATCACTTTTGTTTACTCCGTCATTCAAACCCTTATCCTGAAGAGTTTTCCTCCGTAATTCAAACTTTAGTTTACTCCGTCATTAGTTTCATCACTTAGGACAATATCCTCTACTTAGAGTGAATAAATACGAGCCCAAAGCAGATCATGATGTAACCCAAACTGTTATGGGAAATTCCTTCGTATTCCCTCCAATTGTTCTCACATTATACTGCATTCCATATATATCTTTAACAATAATAATAATAATAATATACTTGGTATGAACTCCTTTTTTCTCTAATACCCACAGAAGTACTTCTCTCAGCACTTTGTTATAAGCTTTCTCTAAGTTAATGATCATCACGTGTAAATCCTTCTTCTTTTCCTGATACATTTCTATCATTCTTCTTAGAAGGAAAATAACATTTGTAAAAGACCCATCCGATATAAATTCAAATTGGTCCTCTGATACCTATGTCCCTCAATCTATGTTCAATTATTCTTTTTGAGAGCTTCCTTGTGTGACTCATATTCAATGCATCAGACTGTATTAAATTGAAAAGTTTGAGAGGTAAAGGAAATCCATACTCACCCTTATTTATAAATAAACATCTCCATCACAGGACAAGTCAAGAATTTCCTTTCACTTGGCTTATCACCGAACAAGTCAATAAAAATCTATACTTCAAAACCCTTATAACTTAGCTTTCAATTTTTTGGGAATATACTAGAGGACCAATTAGTGGTTATTGTTCTTGTTTCTTTAGTACCACCATTGGTTCCTATACCTATCACCTTCCTTGAAAGCGATATTCAAACTCTTATTTTTACGACTTTAGCTGCCCAAACAATTAAGAAATAATCAAAAGCAACCAAACAATTAAGAAATAATCAAAAGCAATAAAAAAATCCAAACGAGGTGTTAAATCAAAATACATTTCATCCTCAATGTGACTATAAAACAAAAGCAACAGATTAGTCCACACTGGTAGCACATGTCCACCTATATTGTGCCTAAGCATTTAAATCTCACAAACTACTAGCACATGGATATGTTTTAAGTAAATAGACCCAACACAGCAATTATCTAAAGATAGGCTTTCTGCAAAACAGAAAAAAGAAAAAACAACTTTTGCCTTTTCAAGCCTTGGGTGTGTCATTTTCACCAGGGAAATATCACATGTAACATGTCAATTAGGCCTTAGATTGTGTCCAAGAAGAAAACAGAGGTCCAGTGCACATAAATTGGCTCAAGAATACCCTTGACAGTAAACAAACAACAACAATTAAGCCTTAATCATAAACTAGTTAGGGCAGGTTATGTGAATTTTTTGTTGTCACTCTGCTCTGTTCATAACTAAGTTCTCAGAATGCAAGTACCAAAAAGAAAAAAAATACAATGCTAATTTCTTTAACTAGTAAAGGCCTCATCAACTAGATTAGTGTTTTAACCAAATGATAAATGTTAGATTATCTAGTAAGGGATGTCTGAATCCCATTCTCACCTGTAATAATATACACTCGTTTCACAATTGGCTAATACTCAAAATAAATAAATAAATAAATAGAATTGTTATTATCCAATAATTACAACTTTGAACCCTGCAAGAATGAACTAAAACAAACAATATAACAAAAATTAAATGCATGCTTGGAAGGAACTAATTGAATTTGATTAAACTAAAATTTCATTGAACAACGAGCCCATCCAAGCAGTTTATTACTTAAATAAGAGAGGTTAACCATAATTAAAATTAATAGTACACCTAAACAGTCAAAAAGAAAGGTTTTCTTATTGTAATTCTGTAAAATTTCTTCTGCTACAAGTGAGGTTAGTAGAATATAGGAAAAGGTTAGCAAAATAAGCATGAATCTTCCTTCTCTATATGCTATAATTTTTGCCAATATAATTATTTGGGGGGGAAGTCAAATTTTGCTTCGAAGGGGAAATGAAATGAAAAAGAAAAGGGAGAAAAAAAAAAAAAATCAAACCACTGAGAATAACAAAATTCACATGGTGCATTCATTTTCAATCATTTCACGAACTTCATTAATGACAAAATGTGCTTTGTGCCCACCAATCACCTCAGACCGTTTCTTGCTGTCCTTCCACAACTGTGAAGACAAAATTTTTAATTAGGGTTCTTCCTCCATCCTTTTTAAAGTGAGGCCAGACTACCCAAACCCAAGTTCAGATCAAGATCAACCTAGTTAGAAGTTTGTTAACCAAAATCCAGTACTTGATTTAGTTTCCAACATAAAAGGTCAAGTTGTTTAACTTTTTATTTAAAAGAGGTCAACCAACTCAAGTTTAAAATGAGCTTGATTTAGAAGTAGGCCGACAAGAGAGGATAGAGCTTGCCTATCCTGCTTCTCAGCCTTCAGCTAGCGTACGAGTCTAAAATAGGTTCTTGAAGCTATCATAGTGAGATAGAAAGTACCTGTATAGTAGGCATTTTCTGCAGAAATTTCATAGTCCACCAAATACATGAAAAGGAAAAATCAAGTTTTAATCATAAATAGTAAAATATGCATTAAACAATCTAGAAATATGGAATAAACAAGTTAAAAATGGAAGAGTAAATCCCAGAACAAAAAGAGGAAGGATTAAGCATTCCTTGAGACATCTTCTACCAAGGTTGAAATTACCTGTACCTGTTTGAGTCTTAGCATATCCAAACAGTTGGTTAATTTTATTGAAAGAGAGATTTGGTAGGAAAGTGAAAGAGACTTTTTTTATGTGATAAAAAAGGACATTGACAAGAATATTGTGACCCTACAACAAAGATCAAACATTTTAAAAGTAATGTGCTCGTATGGGGAGTCAGAGGTTGATGAACCATTAACTCCATGAAAGAAATGTAGTAAGAAGACTCATGAGACTGAGCATGCCAAGCTTAATGGAAAGTTTTTATATGCTACTACAGTTTACAGTCTGTACTAAACTAGATAGAAAGTAGAAATTTAAATTGATTAATAGTGTCCATTGCAAAGTACAAGTCTGACGGCATTAAACATGCAAGAGCTACCCAAAACCCTCACAACAAGGGATCTTTACTATGAGAGTAAGAGAGAGAGAGTTAAATATGCTAACCACAATATATACCAGAGTTGAAATACAACTAATATAAACTGTCCAAATTGTTTGCAGGTGGTCCTAGAAACAGGATTCTGTTTAAGATTCATCAAATTTCTTGTCACAACCTAATCTAGAGTTATATATGGTAAGATGAATGACAAAGGTAAAATTTGCAGGCGTAAGACACTCAAGTGGCAATTTATCCAAACCCACAGAATCATATAACTGCAAAGTAGATTCCTAAAACCAAAATGCTGAACATCTGCATTTATATATTCATCTATTGATCTATTCACCCACACACACATACACACATATATATATGCGAGTGCATATGAATGTATATCGAGGAATATAAAGAGGCAGTTCTTCTCCCTCAGCAATCTCTTCTTCCTTTCTATTATGGAGCTACTATACATGGGGTAGTTTTACGGTTGTATTTAAGATAGTTTATTTAGTTATTCAGTTTTATCATGTTATTATCAGTTTCTTTGTTAGTGGGTATTAGTGGAGTGGTTAAGCAGGTTATTTATTCTAATGGGTAGTTATTACTGTAGCTATTCTAATAGGTAGCTTTAGCTTTGCATTTAGTTGTTTAAAAAAGGCTGTGATATCAAGAAAAATGAAAGCAGAAAGAAAAGGTTTTGGGTGTGTTCACTTGTAGAAAACTACTCCAGTTTTCTAGAAAAGTTTTCCAAGAAAACTGGAAAATAAAATTTTTTGTTCAAATTAGTCAGTTTTCTATTTGGAAAACTAGAAAATGGTTTTTCAGTTTTCCAAAATTTAACGAAGGTTTGAAAAACAGTTTTAAGCTGTTTTCCACAGTTTTCCTTTATAACAAAAGACATGTTTTTCTTTTTTATAAAATGACATTTTCATAATTGAAGCTATAATATCTATAGATAATTTTTTCTATAAAATATTTTTATTGAAATTTAAAACCGAAGGTTTGAAAAAACAGTTTTTTTAAGCTGTTGTTCACAGTTTTTGCCTTTATAACAAAAGACATGTTTTTCTTTTTTATAAATGAACATTTTCCATAATTTGAAGCTATAAATATCTATAGATAATTTTTTCTATAAAATAATTTTTATTGAATAATAAAAATATTTAAATAACATAAAAAAAATCATATTATTGCTTTAATAAATATATTAATTTATAAAATGACATTTTCATAATTGAAGCTATAATATCTATAGATAATTTTTTCTATAAAATATTTTTATTGAATAAATAAAAATATTTAAATAACATAAAAAAAAATCATATTATGCTTTAATATATAATTAATTTTATTATTACAAATATATTTATATCCTCTATTTTTACAAAATTTTACAAAATGATAAAAACGGATATTATTATTATAAATAATCGATAATAAAAATTCAAAAAATTTTAAATAAAAAATTTCTAAAGTTATTTTATAATAATTTATTTTTATTATGAAAATTATGAATAATATTTGTGAATTTTTTAAATTAAAATAAAATTTTTCTATTGTTATCAAGTGAATGCATTTTCCATTTTCTGTTTTCTAATTTTTATTTTCTAAAAAAACAGAAAACTATTTTCTGTGAGTAAACACACCCTTTGAATTCCTAAAACTCATAGATTATGGAGTTCTTCTAACGAGCTCCAGGAGATTGCGGATTCTCTCTAAGTATGTCACCATAGATAGAAGGGAAAGCTTCTTCTAAGACACCACATCTCAAACTTGATCCCATAATTCAAAGACCCATAACCAGATCCAAATTTGGGGCCGTAACACTTTCCTACTCAATTTTCTTCCCTAGAAAAAAATGTCTTTTCAACTTCTATGTTATTACCAGATATCAATAAAAAAATATAAGATTAGAAAGTTTAAAAATAAAATTAGCCAGCATGAAAATTACAGAACACATAAACTATATGCAACACTTGACTTACAGTGACTCCTGCATAGGCAACAAGCTTGTGTGGAACATTATTGACATCAACACAATAGAACCGTAATCTGCATGACGTAATTGGATAAGAAAGCAGCCAACTGACCAAATATCATTAATTGAGATTATTAAGTAGGTGCAAAAATTCTCTTATTTATTATTTTGGATGAATAATAATGAAAAAGATTTCTTTTGTTTATGTTATTTCAGAAAAACTTATATGTCTGTGTGTGTGGCATGCACAGAGAGAGAAAGAGACAGAGAGTGTCTTTTAGCAGTTCTGGTCAGGAATGACAAAATAGAAACAGAATGCAGCCCCGAGAGCGGACAAGAACATGAATGGAAGAGGCAAAGAGATACAACATGAATGGAAGAGGCAAAGAGATAGCTGATAATATGGCAGTCAAAGCACCTATGCTGAACATTTTCCACATCCCACAGTGTATTTGATTTTCCTAAGGGAAATGTTTCCACATTCACAGTGCAGCTATCATCACTAAAATGATATAACATTATTCATTCGGTACCTTCAAGCTAGTAAAATGGAACTGCAAGACAGATGTCCTAGAATACAGAAGGGCAAGAACTAAGATCCTATTTGACTTAAGAACTCTACTTATAATTCATAGGAAATAATCAGTTGGAAATTTCAACTCTTCGAAAAGATTTTTCATTATTTCATTTTTATTCTAAAGATGCACAAAGAAAGAAAAGCGAACCTTGGATAGTAATCAGCTGCCAACTTTTCCAATTTCGGTTTCAAATATATACATTTTCTACACCAACTTGCCATCCTACAAATACAATTAACTTTGCTGAGCTTCACTACACGAGGAAAAGGAAAATCAAATTAATTGCATCTTTTACATAATGCACAGAAGAGAATCCAATATTACTGAAGTTCATCAGTTAGTTCGACCAAGAACTGAACAAATTCTATGATATTCTGATCATAAAAAAATATAAAACGTAGTTAATAAATTGGCCAATATAAGCAATATCATTTTCAATCGAACGCACCCCAAAGGTAACAATAACCAAATGGTCCAAATCTAGAGACAAGAAGAGTGAATAGTGAATAGTGAATTCAGAATGTCAGATACAATACGAGAAACCTTAAGCATATATGATACGAGAAACCTTCAGCATATATGATACGAGAAACAAGAATAGTTAATTCAGATTATTTAACCCCCTTCAGCATTTATTCAAAACAATACAAACTCTATAAAGATTTACAAATTACGCTAAGCAGAGTTATCAATAAACACTAAGGCACCAAAAATCCACCAACAACAATAAAAAAAATCAAAAAGAGAACATCGAATGCACAAATAGACCAAACAAAGATGAACCCAGATGGTTGAAAAAGACCAAATAGGACCAGAATCTCAACACTTAAAATAAAACCCACAAGATCAAGGAAAAGTACGAATAACAATCCAGAAAAGAAAGATTGAGAAAGGCAAAATACCAAACGATGATAACCGCTTCCTCAAGTTGTTGTGCCTCCGCTATGACCCGATCAAACTGGCTCTCACTGCAAATAGTTTCAAGCTCAATCGATACAGGCGAGTCATCCAACTCTTGCACAGACCCTTCTGCGCTCCAGGCATTAAAGAATTTGATTTTCCCGGGGAAATGAAAACCAATGAATTTTCTAGGTAAAGGAAGTGTTTTGAAGCTTTGCGTTGAGAGATTTTGGATTGAACCATTGCCAGACAGATGAAAGTGAATTGGGCTTGTTCTTGATGAAGGTAAAAGTCTATTAAATGAAGAGAAGTTTATAGCTTCCACCATGTTTGCTTGGAGAAGAAAATAATGAATGAAGAAAATAGGAATGTGCATTAAATCCTGAAAAAGAAAAAGGCTGCATTGAACAATAGGGATGTTATTGTTAGGTGGGTCCAGAAGATATTTATTGTTAGACTTCTCTTCGCCTGATATTGTTGGGATTGGGAATTCTCTGTGTGAGAAGCCTGAGGTATTGAACTATTGATGAATCTTTTGTTTTGTTGAGGTTAATGGACACTAGCTGTTATAGCCAAGTGTTCGTTGTACAGCAGTTTAAAGTAAAAACGTTAGCTAGAAATAATTATTTGGTTAATTGTTAAAATTAAAATGACAGAAAAGAACTGATATAAAATTGTAAATTATGTTTACAAAAGTGAATTCATTATTAAAAAAAAAAGGATATACATATGGTGACATATGTTATTATTTTTTTGGAATAAAAATGATTTTTTTCTAAATTATTGTCATACAAATTCTAGGGCTTATGCATTCTTGAAAAACAAACAATGTGTATAAGTGTAAAAAAAAAAAAAATCTATGTAAATGTTAGGATATATAATGTTTGATCAAATGTTCTTTTAACTTGTAAAGGCTAATATTCAGTAACAAAAAAAAAAAAAAAAAGAACATTACATATATAATGTTTTGATCAAATGTTTCTTTTAACTTGTAAAGGCTATATTCAAAGTAAAAAAAAAAAAAAAAAAAAACCCGAAAAAAAAAAAAAAAAAAACGAACATTACGTATAATTATATAACGGAAAATTATAGTCAAAATGCTAAAAGTTATTTAATCGTTATTGTCAAACAATGGCTGTAATTACATAGCCTAATAATGAGTGCATATACGACTAACAATTGATCCACGTTTGAATTTCTTCCTTCAATACTAACAAAACAATGTTTATAATTATATAACAGAAAATTATAATTTTATTCGTGTTCTGTTCCTTTATTTTAAAAATACACTTTTAACCTTATATGTTGCTCAATTATACTAATTTATCATTTCGTCTATTTTTTAAATTTTACTATTTAGTATTTAATGAAAAGTTAAAAATATATTTTTCTAAAAAAAAAAAAAAGTTAAAAATATGGTTAGTAAACTTCCAACTGGAAGCATCTACTTTGATTTATTGGAGGGCCAACGAACAAGATTTTACAATTAAACCATAACAATCATCATTCTAACCAACTTCTGCTAAAACATAAGACTTGATAGAACATAATCTGAAATTGGAGATGAGTTGAGCTGTGATGGGTGGCTTCGGGGTAGACCGTAGAGCAAAAAACGACTCAACATTATTTATACCATTTTTCTGTCGTTCTAAGCACCCTTTATAATTGGGGAGCACACCTTCAATTGAATTTTTGACATGCCAGTGTGTTGTCCAATTAGGGATTTTGTGATATTAGTATAAGAAAAAAGGTCTTGAGGTAGATCGAAACTAGGGATTTGATTTTGATTCATTAAAGGGTACTTATTGGTCGAGATGAAGAAGATTAAGAAGATTAAAAAAGATGGAGGTTTCAAAGAAGGTGATTTGATAGAAAAGCAAGGAGGACAGTTGTTAAGGGTATACATTGGACAATAATATTATCTCTTTCTTCTTATTATTTATTTTTTGTTTGACTTACGAAATAAAATGTGCAGGAAGATATATGTTTGTAACGGAACTAAGACATGGAGACGTTATAATGTAATTTTTAGAATAGAAAAATAGAATAATAATTTATAATTTTTTCATTATATAATTGTTGTTGAATTTTGTGGATTTTTCTATTTTAGTGTTCAATTTTTCTTAAATTAAATGTCTAAGCGAGTAGAATTTTTTTGCTGCATTAAAACGAAAAATGCTCATATTTCTCATTCAACTTAGGTTTAATATACAAAAGCCTATAAATGAGCTTTTCTTAACTGAGTTACACTTTCAATTAAATACATATGTTCATTTTGCCCACCAAATCGGCTGAAAATGCACGATTTGCTTCATAGGGTGAAAAAAAAATACTCTCTCCGTCCTATTTTATTTGTATGATTTGATAAAACGCGCATATTAAAAATTTAGTCAATAAATATTATTTTGCCCTTTTTTACCTTTAATTCCATTAAGATATTAATAAAAGTCTATCATTGTTATTATGAGAAAAATAATTATTTAAATATATAAATTTAGAAATATTGCAAATATTTTGAGACATTTAAAAAAGAAATAATAAACAAATAAAATAAAACGAAGAGAGTAAATATTTTAGATAAAATTATTGCTTCCATGGCTTGGCATTCTATTCTTGATAGAGATGGCAATGCAGAGTTTCGAGGGGTTAATGTCTACCTCGACCTCACTTGAAACTTGACGGATTAAAAAAATTTCATCCCATCCTTACCTTGTTAAAAGAATAAAACTGATCCAGCTCATGACTCATCTCATCTATAAAAATTATATATATAAAATACATTAGTATTATATATATAATATTGATAAGAAATATATTAAAATATTTTTATATATGTATATTATTTATTCGGAGTGGTTTCGGACGAGCATTTTAATATCGTCTCCGCACCATTCCCCGTTATATAATATTCAAAGTAAATCAGTTTTCAAAGACGGTCATTAAATTGTTGTAAAAAATCGGCTCCATTTGGGCGGGTCCTCGCATGACCATGACATTTTGCCATCCTTAATTCTCAGCAATGCAAAACTGTGTCTTATTGAATATGGTTCATCATTACATGAAGAGCATATCAGTGATAAGATGACATATTATATCTTCCGATCCCCAAAAAAAACAACGGCTCAATACATAAATTTAACTTTGAACTTTAACTTACTTACTGTTGTGGGTTTTTGAATTTTGTAGGGATTCAATTATGATCGAGCACTTTCACATTTCAATAATGACTATGTCTCTAGCCAAAATGAAATATAAAAGTATAGTATTATTATTGAACATCTGCAAAGTCATTACATTTTAGAAAAAAAAATAGTTATTATTGAAATGTAAAATTACAGAGTCATGATTGAAATTCCATAAAGTTAAGAGAAACATAAAAAGAATATGTCAAAATTCAGAGCCAAATTTATATATTTGTTGACTTGTTAAAGGACAATATGATATACTAAGTATAGAAGAATGTGTTAAGGATAAAGTCACAAATTATATGGAAAAAATGAAAGACGGATCCAATATTATACATCTACACTCTATATGCAAAAACTATTTAAATTCATTAATTTTAACCCTCTCATTTGATAACTTTTGTGATGGAGAGTACTCGAATTCAAAATCTTCTACTTTCCACAAGATATGAGAAAATTAATCAAACCATGCGTAGTTAGTAAATTTATTAATTTCTAAATTTTTAATCTTGAGTTGTATAGATATATTTTTCAATTTACGTTTTGACCATGTAATTCTTTTTGGTGCAAGCATAATATTTTTCTTTTTTTTGTTTTCTTTTAGATACTAGTGGAAGGACAAAACCTCAATAAAACAAACATAAAACTATCCTAAAACCAATCTAGGCCAAGAAACCCCACGATGGTCCCATCTCAGTTATCCAACACCTGGTTTGGAGGCACCTGGAAGATAAATTTAGAAACCTCAACCATAAGCGCCATGTTAGCCAAACAATCAGCAACTTGGCTAGCTTCTCTATAGCAATGAATCAACTCAACTTGCCATTCCCTAGCCAACATAGCCCGAATTGGGCGAATCAAATTAGCAAACCAGAGTGATGTGGTCCCTTTTATTCAAAGTCCTCACAACTAGCAAAGAATCCACCCTTGCTCCCAGGCCTGGATTAAACCATTTATAACCCCTTGAAACTCAGCAACCACTGATGTGCATCGGCCTAAATGCACAGCAAAGCCAATAAGCCAAGTTCCCTTCAATTCCTAAATAATTTCTCCGCACCTGTTCGGACCTAGGTTCCCTTTCGCTGCCCCATCGATATTCACCTTGACCCACCCAAAAGAAGGTGGGGACTAAGCAATATGGAGTATCCCATGACCCAGCTTGACATTGCTGCTAACCTTAGAATCCATGCAGCATCATTAACCTTCAACTGGGAAAGCAAACTATGCCACTTTGCCTAGACATGCCACTCATGTCGAAAAACCACTGTGTTCCTCCAACCCCACAAATTCCATAAAGCAAGTGCTAAAATCACAAGCGGATTAAAAGAATCAAACCTGTAGGATTTTAAGAGGTGTCCCCGAGAAAACCATTCCAAGTGTAGCCAAGACAGAAAATCCAGTAGAGAATCAGCTGTCCATACGTGATCCCAAAGCCGTCTCACATAGAAACAATTGCGAAACATGTGCTCAAGAGACTCCTCCGATGATCCACAAACCCCACACAAAGAGCAATCTATAAACCCACTTCTGCACCTTTCCTGGTTCGCCATAAGACGTTGATGTTGGAAAATCCATAAAAACATGCAGACCTTCTGAGCAACCGGCAACTTATGAACCCAAGACCAGATCCTATTAAGAACCTCATTCGCTCCCGTCTTAGCAAGTCGATAAGCAGATCCAATAGAAAAGAGACCTAACGCAATACTAGCCCAACTACATAAATTAGACCCGACATAGTACCGGCCCAACTAAACTCATCCACGACATCCACATCATCTGTAAGAACAATAGCCTCCAAAAGATCACATACCGACTGAGAAAGAAATAACTCGAAGTCCTATTCCCAGCTTCCATTATGCCAAAAAGAAGAAATTGGGAGATGAAACAAATGATCTGGAACGTCACAACTGCAAACGTTACATAAAGGTTTATCTAGCAACCACAACTCCTTCCAAAAGGAAGTAAAGTAGCCATTACATACCACCCTCCGTAGCCCTTTAGACAAAAGAAGAAGACAATTCATAACTCTACGCCACGCAATAGAGGCTGAACTTCTTTTCTTAAAATCCTCAAGCCTGATACCCTTGCATATATTTGCCTCTTAAGACCAGAAAAGCTGAGTTTACTTCGCGACATGTTCGAACTCCCAACCCACAAAACTCCTTAGCCATAGTCACCCAATCCCAGTGCACAATTTTCGAATTCCCAACCCACCAAACTCCTTAGCCATAGTCACCCAATCCCAATGCACGAGGTGGATATTATTGCGGCCTTGTCTGGATCCCCAGACAAAATTGCGAACTTTCCTATCAAACTTGTCACACTGCCCTGGGTATGTAAGAGCTGTGAGGACAGATTTGGCTAATGTAACTCTACCCGCTGAGTTTAAATACTTTTCTATTTAATGATATTTTTTAAAATATTTTTATTGGAAAAATCTATTTTTGGACACCCAAAATACTGTTTTGGCTATATTACTCTAAAAGTTGTTGCATAACGAAGATACTAGCCTTCCTTTCAAAAAAAATAAAAATAAAAATAAAAATAAAAAACAATAATACTAGCCTTCAATGATATATTGTTAATCTCACAAACTTTTTACTTTAAGAATGTTAAGGAACTATCTAATGGAAAAAATATAAATAAGAAATTAATCAACAAAAATTAACAAAGCTAAAAAATTATTACACTTCTCAAAAAAATTTACTGCACAATAGATAAATAAACTACAAAGAGAATATTTTTCTAAAAAAATGAAAATTCAATCTGACCAGTCTAAGATGCATGTTCTTTAGTTCCATTCTATAAGTATTCTAATTCTAAATGGCACCAACTTATAATTACTGAAATAAACATTCACCAGATTAGATAAAATATAAACTCATCTTTTTGTTTTTTAAGTGCTGTCACTAAACATATCAAAATTTCATTATGAATGCATTAAAGGGAACTGAGGTTACAATACAAAATTTGAAACAAGGAAAAAAAAAAAAAAGGCAGAATATAGTCCAGAAAATCAAGATTTTAATCCTCACTGTTGGAGACATAAAAATTCAGCTGCTCAAACTCTCAGCAATTTTAGAGATGGCTGAGTAAGTTCCAAAAGCTGATGATATGACCCCTACCACTATGATTATGATACAAAGGGTGACCTACAAAAGAGGGGGAAAAAATGATGTTTAGAAAGGGTATCAGCACTGAAATTAAGCAATACTAAAGCTTATGATAAATTTTTTACATTACAATTCTATTATATTAATGAAATTCAATGATTTTGTAATAGAAATTATGTGTTTGTAATAAGTTTTAAATTTCTATTTTACCCTCAATTATAAGGAGAAATGTTTAATTTAAATAAGGGTAATGTGGACTTCTTATTACATGAATGTATCTTGCAAAATCATATATTCTCTAACATGATCTCATTTCTTTCAAAATGACTTGTTTAACTTGAAAAAAGGTGAATTCTATGGTTTCCAACAAAAGAATTAGCAAGTAATATTCATTTGGAAAATTTTGATTTCTTCCCTTTACCCTTTCTGTTATCCTATTTCATACAGTTCAGCAAACAAAAATATGCAATACAGCGATGGAAAAAGAAGTGTTTTTGCAAATTAAAAGATTATTCTTAAATTTCCTTCAAAATTTAGCAATGAAATGGAGAAATCTATGCAGGTATTATAGAACAATAAACAACCATATGCTCAACAGATCAGTACTTTAAAAAAAAAAAAAAAAGGATAAAAGGTTTAATAGATGGCAGAAATACCTGAAATCTGGTTACTTTACATCTCAAGATACTCAGAAAACAAGCACAAGGAAGTATCAAGGTCTGCCACAAAAGTTAGATTTTAGCATATAGTGCAGCAAAGGCATTAATGTTTCTTCAATGTTCAAACTACACAATAGAAAAGAACTTACTACAAGCATTGTGAGTAAAGATCCTATCAATGACATCACCAAACCTGAGAAAACATAAAAATGTTAGCTGAGGATATGAAATAAAAGAAATTTAGACTTCAAATGATTACAGAAAATGAAAAAGTCCTTTCAGTTTCCAAGAGAAGTGTCTTACGGGCAATTTAACTGGATAAATAGAAAATAGAAATTAAATGAAGAGATACTGACCGAAAAATGGAATGGTGAGACCAACAAGCAAGGTGGAGATAACCAGTGCTGTCCTAATGCAAATAGCATAAATGTGAGATTTCAGATGGTTTGGTGGTATCAACTCTTCCAGACTCATTGCTACTGGAGATATGGTTAATGCATATGTGTTTCTAATTAAGGAGAAACATAAATTTTCTTGAATAATTGAAGCAAAAAGAAATAAAAATAAATTATTTCCGTTAGTGAACTTCAAATAATACCCAAAAATGTTAATATCTTTACTTTGGTAGACATTTTCTGCTTCCTTCTTCTTCTTCTTTTCCGCAATTTTACAATTATAGTCATTTCTGACCTATGCTTTGCATACAAAGTATAACAGAAAAAAACAGGCTAAACTGACAAAGGGTCCATTTGGTATTATCATTCCAAGTAGCAGATTTTGAGTAATGTAGTTGGTCTATAAATATACCCAATTGTAATAGAGTTTTCTACGGGTCCAAGACTGATTTTGGAAAAAACTTCAAACATGAGCTTTTCCCAAAATCAGCTTTGTGTTGATATAGAACTAACTCTATTGCAAATATTTATATCCATTGAGCCAACAAAATTACTCCTCATTTTGGCGAAAATATGCTTCCTGCAATAGCAATGCCAAATGGGCTTTAATTACGAGCTATATGGTCATAATCAGCTTGGCTGTGCATTATTTGAATATCATTCTTGAAAAGGATATTTGGTAAATGGATTAACTACCTGCAAAACGAGCAAACGATAATGGTTTATAAGTTCCAGTCTGCACACTAATTATTAAAGAGAAAAATTCATTCATATCAAATTTTGCAATCTGCTAATCAATTTTGAAAAATAATGAGCGTACCGTAGTCCACACAGCAATCTTTGAGGCAATTAGATCTTGGGGCATGTTAAGAGTGAACTGAGACACTGTTGATTCTCCAAACATTGTGTACCCCATAAAAGCAACTCCAGCGTACATCAAAGCACAAAGAACAAAGCTGAATGAATAACAGAACCAAGTGAGATGAGCTGGCACTAGGAATTTATACAATTACAGAGACATATTTCAGAAGACTCAAATACTTGAGTTTGCTTTAATTAATAGTTAAGAACCCAGTCGAGAATGTTAAGTTACCATGTCAAGAGCACCATAGGAAATTTGTTAGGCTGTGCCATTGATGTATAGATATTTGGGAAGACAGCATGTCCTGAATAACAATAACCATAGAGACCAATAGCAACAGGAAGAGTTCCGAGGTTTAGTACTGTCCCTTTACTACGAATGCCAACATGATCCACCAGACCAATCCAAAATAAGCAGATGACCACCAACACTGATGCAATAACACCACCAGCTGCAAGCAAAAAGGATATCTAAGAACTCTATCTTGCTTGTCCAATTTGCACCAGATTTTTTCATAGATCACAAGAATTAGCTATAGTTTAACTTGTAGCAACTGAGTTCCTATGGTTCTGATTGAGACCGCTTGGCTCAAAGAATAAAATTTTGAAATCCAGAAAGGTAATTTAGAGTCTATTTATCGTTGAACTTACTTCCCCAAAAGCACCAATTTTAGATGCTAATGAAAAATAGTTTGAAAGTGCTGTTTTGGAACTTTTATGACTTCAATGGCATCTAAACAACATTTCCAACATACAACAAAAACCATATATTTCTTTCCGTGATCCGTAATGAAATGTAATGTAATATAATCAAATGCATTTCTAGAAATACATTAGATTAGATTATATTACATAATGACATTTCACTACAGCCCACCAAACAAAACCTGAGTTACAAAAACTCACCAGAGATATAGCTAAGAACAGTAAGGTCTCGAAGCCAAACAGTTGGAAGAACAGCAAGGGTAGACATAAGAGCAAACAAATGATATGAATTTAACTCTAATCCACCCAAACTTATATGTGCATTTGGAAATAATGAGGATAAGTTATCGCTTTCCAAGATTATATATTCAACACAACAAGCCTGCACATTAAGAAGATTTAATTAGGTAAACTAAGTAGTAATGAAGTGATTCTCAAAATCTTTAGTATACTCTGCCCTATTGGAAAAAGAAAATTAAAATAATAAAAGCAAGAAAACGAAATGAGCCATTAGTCCGTTAGATGCTTTACACAAATATTACATTAATGAATAGTAAATATTCCACAGAATGGAATATTTATTTTCTTTTTCGCTATTCCATCCTACCAACTAAACAAAGCCTAAAAGTTCAATTTCCACAAATTTACACCACCATTGAGATGTTCAAAGAATTAAGCCTAAAAGGTCACTCCTTTTTGTTATTTTTTTTCTTTTTTTTAAGACAACAAAGTTTGTCGATGCATTTAAAGCAAAATGGATGAGATTTATCAAATGGTGTATTGGTCAAGCTGTTGGAAATATGGGCCAAATATGAGGCAATGACACAAGTAGCCACTCATTTGATCCAGCAGCTAACAGATCAGAAAGAATGTGAGACACGCATCATGAGAAGAAGCCTCTGGTACATTGCCTTTGTCATTTAACAGTTCACAGACAAAAGTTGAAGTTTCAGTGAAACAAGATCCAAATTCTGGAAGCCAATAATATTAAAAGTGGAGCCCATTTTGAATCTAGCTCATCATGCATCTTTCCTAGACAACTATTATTGGTTGGTTAAAGCAAAGAAAAGTGAATCATGTTGAAAAGGCCAGCTGTACTTACATATAACTCCACATACAAGATTATCTGCAACCACAAAAAAAAAAAAGGTAAAATCATCAAGATTGGTGACTAGTCAAATTTGTAAGTGCAAGATGTAGCATGTAGGTTCAGTCCATTAGTCATTTAGTTATTTTTTATCTAACTACCAATACTGCATTTCTGCTAATTTTTCAGTTAGTGCATATTTCGTCAGGTGCTGAATAATTAAGATTGTACATTATTTACACATCTTATGAATGTTTCTTGAAGTGAAAATTCGCAAGTATACTTACAGAGATTGCAATCCGACCAATAGTACCAAATGCAGCTTGGCCAATGTCAGGGTAAGTTTCAAGCCCAGGTTCACTGTCCAGGCAGTAACGCAGAAGCATCCCAGTGTAAAAGGAAAGAACTGCAAATATGAGCAATATAGAAAGCCCAAGCCATCCCCCTTCTTTTACAGCATAAGGAGTAGACAAAATCCCAACTCCACATAGAACATTCATACCTTCATTACAACCACAATAAGAACCCGTTGACCATCAAATCATCGCATTTCAAAGTTGATTAGTTACAATAGGCAACAATTTCAATCCAGATGGTTTATAATTAGTTAACATTTAATCTACAATAACACTAAAAATAAATTTTTTTTAGAGGGAAAAATTATAGCAACAATTAGATGGACATTCTTGTAATTTAGTTGGTCTTTTTCATGTGTAGCATGTGCAATAGAGATTTAGCCACAGTTCATGACGAATATAGACGTGATTGTCTTTATGCCTATAATAGAAGATAATAATGGGCAAAAGACAAACTCAAGTCAGATAGCCTATATTTTATTCATAGAAATAAAGAACATTTTCTATCAGAATTATTGGATGAAAGTCATATTAATTGAATCAAGAACATGCTAAAATACAAGATGCTGTAGCAGACAGCCACTGCTTAATTATGAATTAAGGGAATGATTGTTACAAAAGATATAAGGTATTATATCAAACATCCACATGATTGGTCTATGTGGTCCCTACAATTGAAGGGCTGAGGGAGGATAAGATCTGGAAGTTGTGGTAATCCTAAGGCCAGCAAGTGGCAGGACAGACATACGTTGGATTACTGCTAATGACAATTCACTAATCTTTTGTAACTTCAAATAAGACAACAATGTTACTGTGGTAATTTTAATGATTGACAACTTATCATTTAGTTGGGAGAACTACAATTCTGTGGTAAACAATATTTTTATTCCTTAAAACACATGAAAAAACATTAATATGCTTTAGCTATTCTATTGCGTCTTGACTACTTATCATACTATTAAGTTAAACACAACTAACATAAATAAATGAATGGTTCCGTCATCAAACTTACCATTAAGCACGGCCTGTCCAAAGGAGCTTTGTCCAGACAAAGGAAGTCCATGTGCAACCTGGGATGGTTTCTCATCCTTTCTAATTGAAGACCTTCTCGAGGGAATTGGAGGAAGTGCTGAATGTGATGAAAGCTGCTCATTTTCTACCTTTGGTGGTATTAGAGGTTTAGTTACAGAAGGTAGTGATTCTGGTGTGTGTCTCCTTGTTAGAGAAGAGGATAGAAATGAACTGCTTAATCTTGATAGTGTAGGAGTTCCCAATATCATACTTGGAGATGGTACACTACTATATAGATCAATCGACTGCCTATAAAATCAATCAAAAAATGATCAATGCACTGCAAATTTTATGAAAAAACTTTGAGATTTAATTAATAGATTTGATCCCTTTAATTGGGAAATGATGAATCTCTTCCATTATCATACAAAAATAACACACAAAAGATTGCAGGATGAGTACAGTACTTACTCTATATCTTCATACAAGGCATATTAAACTTAATTCAATTTCCTTTAATCCTTCAATGTTGCTATGTATGTTACGCCTACCAAATCAATATGTCTTAGTTTTTCGAGTTAATCTTCCTCTTGCCAACTTGAAAAATCAAATTATAGGCATAATTAGTGCATGGCAAAGCACATCAATAAAGTACTTACCTTTTGTTTTTTTGTCTAAACCATATTAATATCTTAAGTTTTAATTAAATTAAACAGATTTTACTATTCTTGTTTCTTATTGCATTTTTAAGGGATGAGCCAATACATTACTTATCCTACCTTTGTGAGCTTTAGAAAAGGTTGATATATGCAGGCTTCCCTTTATTTTTTGCGAAAAAATGAACCCATAATCTTCAAGTTACAAGTGAATTAACTTAATCATTACACAGAATCCACCCTAGTAATTTCCTTGCTGCCATTCTAAAATTCCAAAAGATTGACTGCACTATTCATCACAGAATTTGACAAAGGAAAAAAAAGACACCAACACTTACATAAATAATGATTAAAGTTACGAATCCTCAAAATCTAAAATTAACCAAGGTATGGAGAAAACTGAGTAGAAGCAGAATACAAAGCATACCTGTAACTTTGAGGCCAAGAGGTCGTGTAAGAACCGGGTTTGCTTTGTTGTCGGTTTCCAGCTAAAGAATAATCAGAATCTGATTGATTTCCATCATCTTCACCTTCTTCACCTCTGTTGTGCTCCTTATATTCATCTTCCTCTTCACTCTCTATGTAAAAACTCTGTTCCGAAACAGAATTCTTCATTTTCTCCCTTTCTTCTTTCTCTTCTCAAATACTGATCCATAAAAAAAAATCTCAGTTACTATATCATTAAGAAAGAGAGAAAAACTAAAATGTCTCCTAAAATAAATCAATAATACGATCTTCTATAAGTTAGTGTTTACTTATGATCAAGATCAAGACTTGATTTCAAGGGCAATAAGATTTACAGTTAAAAGAAATGAAGCAAATCTCAAAAACCAAAATGAAAGTGATGAAGATATAACCGGAAGGTTTTTACCAAGAAAGAAGAAAAGAAAAGAACAGAAAGGAAAGGAAAGAGAAGAAAAGAAAAGAAAATATCAGATTGTTCCGGAAGGTATCATTGACATAAAATGGTAACTAAATGAAGGCAGAAGTTAAGACACCAAAATGTTGAAATTGCAAGAAATATGAGAAAGAAGATACCAAAACGTTTACGCCAGGTCAGAAAGGAGTCTTTTAATGCGTATCTTTAATATAATACCGTTAAACACAGGAATAGAAGGAAAGAAAAGATTAATATAAAACCGTTAAACACAGGAATAGAAGGAAAGAAAAGAAAGAGAGACAAAGAAGCGCGGATTCGCAGATTTTGAAGTTTGAACTAATCAAATTGAAATTTCACAATCTATTTTTTTGTTCTATTTGGTTGCTGGGAAAATACAAGAAAAGGGTGGGTGAAACGCAGGAAACTGCAACGAAAAATGTGAACTTTCTTCTTTTCTTGGAAAAACAATCATTGAGAAAAGTTGTAACTTTCTATTTTGGACAAGTTTCTGAGCAACCAAAAAGAAACAGATTTCCGTTTGTTGTTTCCTCTTGTTCTACTACTTTCTTGTAACAAGTCTGCAATTACATTCCACCACGTAGAGAGAGAAAGCAGCTTAAAAGTAAAGAAAGGGTTTAAAAGAGAAGGAAAGGGAAAGCAGAAAGTGGAAAATCAACCTTCTTACTCGTGAATCGAGAGTTATGTAGAATCTGGGATCTGGCGAAAGAAACTATCGAGAAAAAGAAGGAAAACCAGAAAGAGAGAAATTAGCCACCCACTACCTCTTTTTGTTTGTTTTTGTACGTTGCTTGTCTTGTATTATGTGTTTGCTTCTCCCTCTACGTAGATGCGAGGCACGGAAAAATAAAGTGCAGCGAATCAGCGAAAATATAAATTCTTGAACAATTATTTTTATTTTATTTTTTTCTTTTTTTTAGCATTGATGGGGAGATTCTTAAAAAAATTCGTAAAATTTATTTAAATTACAATAAATTATCGAGTAAAATGTGTTTTTGTTATTACCTCTCTTCGAATTTTCTCGTTCTTTAAAAAAAATCATAAAACGTGTTTAGATTACAATAAATTATTGAGTAAATTAACTATATTGCTCTTAATTAATACTTTTTTTATTCTATTTTATTTGCATGGTTGGACAAAATATACATATTAAAAATTCAATCAACAAAAATTATTTTGACATTCTTTTATCCTTAAGTAATTAAGATATTAATAAAAGTTCTTCATTTAACGAACAACCACAAAGGTTATTATAGGAAAAATAATTATTTCAATGTACAAATTTTGAAACCTTGCAAACATTTTGGAACATCCCAATATGGATAACAAGCAAACAAAATGGGACTGATGAGTATTAATTCTCCAAAAAAAAATTATTAAATTGAAATAATAATTATTGGTCATGTACAAAGGGTAAACATGGAAAAAAAACATTTATTAATATTTAAAATCACAAATGTGACAAGTATTTTGGAACATATTATTTTCTCAAATGTAACAAATATTATGGAACAAAGGTAGTAGGTTGTATATACACTTACTAAGTGTGCATTATTTTAATACTCTCTCTATTTTAAAATATAAGTCGTTTAAAGTTTTTGCATAATGATTAAGGAAACAATTAATTTTTCTAGATTATAATGAATTCAAATGTAATTTGACCAAATTATCCTTTTATATCAAAACCAATAGTTGTTTGTAAAGTATTTATTATATTTAGTGTAAACAAGGGCAGGATTGGAAAAATATCATTTATTACTTCTTAAAATATTAGGACAAAATAACAAACTAAAAATGACTTATATTTTATTTTTATATTTTATTTTGAGACAAAAGGAGTACGTGATTAAAAATATTATTGTTTCAATTAAAATTTTTTTATTTTATTTATTTGGGGTATAAGGGGGTATGAACTCAATATAAATAATAAGTCAATGTCATGCGTATAATAACAACCTCTACATAACTAAACCTTCATAATTTAATCTGTGAAAATATATAATATATGAAGTAGGAATCTTATTTTGAAAATTAAATTAATTGTTTCTAATATACGTTTTTGTTAACCATTTATTTTTCTTCGTTAGCTTAATGATCAATTTAAATAATTAAATGATAGATCAAAACATTGTATTAATAACTTCACTTTCAAAGTACAAATGTTATTCGTCAATTAAGGGTATATTGTATTAAGATTTTTGTTAGATTTTAAAAGAATTATTAAATTGGATGGAATTGAAGGATTTCCTAAAAGATTTCCTCAAATTCCACTAGAAGTTTATATAGAGTTTTATGGAATTAATGGACTTTTTTTATAGATTTTGATTGACTTTGATGAAATTAGAATAATTTTTATATATCCGATCAAAGTTAATCTTAGGATCTAACTGAATAAATTAAAAGGTTTTTGAGTCCAATTGAACAACAGAAAGCAATGAGGGACAAAAAAATACTTCATCTTCTCCAAAATTATTTTCTTCTTCGCTAAAATCTTACCGTCGTGAATAGTGAAAAGGCTTGCAATAGTCAGCGTAACCGCGAGGCATTCCACGCCCCCAGAACAGTCGCGATATGGTCGAAATGCCACGAACTTTTCGTCCCTTAACTGAACATCGACCGTTAAGGATGAGCAAACAGTTGATTCAGTTCAAACTGATCTGAATCGAGATTAAAAAATACAAATCGAATCAAATCAAAGTAGTTGGTTCGATCAATTTTGATTGATTTTTCCATTTCGATTCGGTTTTAATCTTAACCAATGAATTTCTATGAAATCGACTTGAACCGAATAATAAATTTGGTTCAAACTGAATAAACTGACAATTGAACCTTTTTTGGTTTAACTGACCGAACTGAACCAAAATGAGTCAGTTCGGTCAGTAAGTTTGCATAGCCCTAGTGATCATCTCGTCAAAAAATTACGGGTTTAAATATATATTTTTTAATTTAAAATTTAAAATTAATAAAATATATACCTAGCACCTCAAAGAAATCTTTGGATTTGGATTGAAAGATGGATTTATAAATAACTCTTCTATTTATACATAGCACTCTAAAATCCAAAAGAAATCAACAATTTTATAAAATCTTTCTAAATCAATAATTTTTTTGAATATTATTAAATTTATATATACTTTTAAAAATTGATAATTGAATACCATCAGATTTTTATGAATTTTATAAAAGCCAGAATTGAATACCACAAAATTTTAATAAACTCCAAAAAACAATCTAGATCAAATGCAATTGAAATTTTAAAATCTAACAAAATCTTAATCCAATACATCCCTAAGTCAAATCTTAAAAACTAATAGCAATTGACTCTTATAAACTTGCAATACCATCAGATTTTTATGAAATTTTATAAAAGCCAGATATTGGAATCCATAACAAATTTTAATATAATCTCCAAAAAACAATGCTAGATCAAATGCCAATTGAATTTTTAAAAATCTAACAAAATCTTAATCCAAATAATCCCCTAAGTCAAATCTTAAAAACTAATAGCAATTGACTCTTATATATATATATATATATATATATAATATATATATTATATATATATATATATATATATATATATATATCAAATGTAACTAAGTTGTTTTCATAGAATACATTTATTTAATAAAACCAAAACTCTAACTATTTTATTTGGAATGAGAGGAAAGAAAAATCATTAGACGAAAATATATAAGAGAATATATCAAATGCTAACTAAGTTGTTTTCATAGAATACATTATTTAATAAACACAAACTCTAACTATTTATTTGGAAATGAGAGGAAAGAAAATATTAGAGAAAATAAAATATTAGAGAAAAATAATGAAAAATTGTCAATTTTCTTTCAATAGTCACTTTTCATAACGAAGGAAAGAAAATGAATTTATTTTCCTTTATTTGGAAAGGAAAAAATTTTAGAGAAAAATAAATGTTACTATTGAAAATTGACAATCATATCATCCCTTAAAATTATAGGGTACATACGAAAGGGTTAAATTTTATTAATTAATTTAGGGTACTTAGATAATTTAATAAAAATGAGTGAAATTTTCACTTTCCTCCATCATTTTCACTCCAATTTAACTTTTTAGTGAAATTTTCATTTTCACTCCATCATCCCGGGTGAAAAATAAGTGAGATATTAATTCCTCCAATATTTTCCTCCTCTTTTCCAATTAAGGGAAGATACCTTTCCCTAGATATTTTCCATAGTTATTTTTCTTCCTTCAAAAAAATACACTTATTCAAACAAAGGATAAAACTCTATAATTGCACACATAAATTTAGATTCACATCCCATGTTTCAATACTAAAAAAAACCTCTTCAATTAAAATAAAAAGAATAATTAAGTATAACATGATCGATATTCCATTAATGTAGGAGTAAAAAGTCTAGGGTCCAAATTCTCTTATAAGAGAAAAAAATAAAATGGTTATCCTATTATTGATCATTCATTAACGGTGAGCAATGAAATGGTTAACCAATTATGTGTCCATAATATTTTTCTTCCTATTGAGCCTCTAAATAAATAAAATAAAATAAAATGAATTCAAAATTTTAATTATTTCTATACAGATGCAAACTTATTTTTAAGATTTAATGAACGCTAGACTGATCAAACAAAATTTTCTATTTTTTATTAGTATCAAAATCAAATTAAATGTATTAAAAATTAAATAAAATTGAACCGATTTGATTTAATTGATGCTAACGAATTTTGCCAATAGCATTTTTTATACTCAATTGTAATTATAATATAGCCTTATAAGCCAATAAAGTCCTAACCTAATAGTCAAAGCAAAAATCCTTTACATCCGGGCTTGAACCCCACCTTCCTCCCTTTCTGTTTAATTTGTAATCTCATTAGAAAATACTCCCTCCGTTTTTTTTTTTTTTATAGGCACAATCATATTTTCACCAAGGTTAAAAAATCACTTTACCTAACTATTTTATCTTTTTTCTTATATGCCCTTAGTACCACATTGACTCCTCGTCTAAAATGTAAAATTGCCGTTTATAATATTTTTTGGTTGAATAACATGATAAATGTTTTGTCTTTTGAAAAAATGGAGGGATTTGCTCTATTGTTGCTAAATAAACTGTATATTAAGTGATTTGATTAGGGAACTATTCAAATTTTGAAAACTCAATTCAAAATTTTGCAAATCAAACATTAATCATCACCCTTTGTTCATCTTTTATCAGTTGACCGTTTGAATCATCTGTAGCTCTTCAAAATCTCAATTGTTAATGTCTTTATGAGCTCAATAAGGAATAGAGAAACCGAAATTGGGTTAGAGATGATAACACGATCGAACCTGGTTGAGCAGTTGAGAGAGTATCAAATTTGACCTAAGCATGAGTGGCATCTATCTCCTTCTTCTCGTCCACCACCAATCTAACTTCTTCGAGGCATGCCTAATTACCTCTTTCTCTCTTTCTTCATCTTTAATTCATGTGCCTTCTCATTTCAAAATTTTTAATTTTTTAAATTTTCTTTCTCCTTACTACGAGATCATTGTTTCGAATAAAATGATTTCAAGTTAATTGTATTTTGGATAAATTAGATCACCTAGGGTTTTGGACACCTCTGGGGAATTTTTATTATGACTTTTCTGATT